TACTCGATAAGTCGGACAACATATATAAACTCTCGTTAAGCTGTAAGTCGGACAACCTTCCAGCCAGATAGTAGTAATAACTCTCGCTAAGTCGGATTTACGTAATTTGTGTGCAGGGTTATTGGTCATGGTGGAGTTTTTGATGAATTAAATAATGCTGTGACATCATTAATAATAATAAGCATTCAAGAGCATTTGAAAATTAATATCGAAAAAAAACGTTTTGGCAAGACTTTAGAACTGATCAAACTCCAAGAGCAGAAGTAGACTCTGAGGTCAGATTGGATATTATTTTGTTTAAATTTTGTTAGCTTATCGAGATTCTTGTCATTTTATAGATAAGGTTGGATCCCTTCGTAAGATTTTAATATTACCTTAGTATATCAGGTATTCAAATTTACCGTCATATGCAGTAATTATTATTATTAAAATTTGTTGACAAACCTTTGCTGTTAGATTATAAGTACGAATAAAGTGGCCTTACGCCATACAACGCTACCTAAATCCACTATTGAGACTGAGTATTCATGTAAGTATCACTTGAAAAGAGATAAAAGACACAGAAACTAATCAATTTCAATACAGTCTGTTCGATTGAAGATATTCCTGGTGAAATGTGCTAGCAAGATCTTAGCGATGCTGTAAAAGTGCCACGATATATTAAGCATACAGTGGTAATAACAATGATCCGATTATTTAATACCACACATATATCGAGCTCTACTGACCTTAATTCATACAGGGCCCCACCACGTTTGCAGCAAATCTAAAGAACTATCAAAGCCTCTTCGTGAGTATATTAGAGTGACTAATATACGAACTTTGTTGTTATTTTTAACTATTATATATTCTTCCTTTATACATTAGTTTATAATGAGAATGCTGAACTACATGTCTTAGAAATCGTTGATTTGTAACATAAACTCTGGCGTCCGTCCCATATCAAACATTCATTATGGCCATTCCATCAGTGCCATTCGCAACCGGTGAGCACAGAATTTTATTATTATTTGTAACTTGATTAATTGCCTTTGCTAAATAGCATTTTATTACAGGTAATATGAGGAGAGCTTTTCTAGTGAATATTAATAATATGCCAGCTGAAATGTGGCTGGATGGACAGCCACAAAATAAATACGTTGTAAAACGCTACGTTAAACGAAACTTGGATAGACAACATCTGCATAGAATTGATATTCAAATGTTGGTCTTAGCTCGCAAAATTCTTATGAACTTCAAGGCCGATCTGGCCGACTGTACTTGCAACGATGCAGCGCTGCTATACAGTAAGTTTATTTTATGCGAAATTGATTTGAACTTATTAGACAAACTCATATTTCACTTATTCTATAGGCATCTGCCTGGTGCGGTCGCAATCGATCGAAGCAGAAAACAGTACGATATCCATAGTAATACAAACATAGGGGAAGTCATACATGAAAGTCCGTATATGAGATTTTTTCGCCGATTCCCGATAATATTGCAATAGTGAAAGAGGTATAAACTTCAAAACCTTAAGGCTTTTCAAGGACGTGGGTTATGGCCTCAAAACTTAGACGGTAGATACTCTCATGCTTGCTTTACCAGAAAATAAGGAATTTTTTTTCTTTGCTATAAGCAATTGGAT